AAATGGCGAGGCTTAGAAAGTGGATGTTCTGGGTTATAACACCTTGCAGTATTTTAGGTGATTACCATGAGTTGTGAATATACCCTGAAGAAGGAGGAGCAGCGGGTTTGTAATTAGTAACCGGCCATAAGACTAGGCGGTATCAAAACCTAGAAGAGCACATCTTAAATATTCGGATAGTCAGTAACCAGACTGAGATTCGAACCGGGTACCTTCCTGAACACAATTATACAGCTTTAACATAATATATGAATATTAAGCTTCTTGTTACATTACAGCGTGAAGTCTGTAAAGTATCGAGTCACAATGTGAAGATTTCTGATCTATTAACTATCAGCTTCTCCGTGGAATTAATTAGTCGACTGGATGTAATAATTAGACAGCATGACAGGACAACATCTTCGCATATCGATCCTTACGACGGCTTATTTTTATGTTGAAATATCTTACTGAAAATAAGAGAGAAATGTTAATTTTTAAACATACGGTAGCTCAATAGAAATGCAACAGAAACAACGGGCTGTCTCGTAGAACTGAAGGCCGACAGAATACAAATAAATCAACAAAAAGAAAAGGAAGACGAGGGTCAGTTAAGTTTACAAACATAACCCAGTGAACTCTGCAAACCAGTAACATTCCTAGTACGATGAATTCAGTCTTTCTATATGGGCATTTATATTAATTCCTGCTTTATACACTAACTCTATTGAGCTGAGCCCTTCTTGAAAAGCCGCCAGTTGTGCAGCAACTCAAGAATTTCCCAGCATTTTATGGAACCCGAAGGTTCATTACCGTGTTCGCAAGAGTCCGCCACTGATCCCTATCCTGAACCAGACCAATCCATTCCACACCACCCCATTCTATCTCGCTAAGATCAATTTTAATATTATCCACACACTTACATCTTGGTCTTCCTAGTGGTTTCTTCATTCTGGCTTTCCCATCAATATACTATATACATTCTTTCTTCGCCCCATTCGTGCTACATGTCCTGCCCATCTCATCATTCTAATTATGTTTGAGGAGGAGTACAAGTTATGAAGCCCTTCATTATGCAGTTTTCTCCAACCTCCTGTCACTTCATCTCTCTTCGGCCTATGTATTCTCCCCAGTACACTGCTCTCAAACACCCTCACTCTGTGTTCTTCTCGTAATGCTACAGAAATATGAAAGAGGCTGAAAAAAAATTAATTCTAAACTACGAATCAACGAGAACAATAAAAACGAAGAAACCCGTTTACTTTTACCAGGAAATTACACATAAGAAATATGGAATTTCCTCCAACCATAATATTAGACAAATAGTGTTTAAAATGTATTTATTGCTGAAAGCTGGAGGGACACCGGAGTAGGGATTTAAAATACTGTCGAGTCTGTTGTTAATGGCTATATCCCCATATTCCGAGGAACAGACAAAGCAAGCATGTTTGAAATATGAATAGTTGAATATTGGGTACAGAACAAAGGGATGTTTTCTAATTCATATTCTAATTTTGCTCAATTTCATAAAGATACATAGCCCGTATGCACCAAGGAATTAGAATAATTAATAAATTAATTAAAAATAATGCAAACTGGAGATAGAACCATTAAGAACTAAGGTGATCTTATGTTCACAAGAAATTGTCTATTAAAATATGTGATAAACTAATACAGAGAAAAAGAAGACATAAACTAAGTCCAGTCGAGTCGAAAAAAGCCTGAATCACTAAGATGATGCAAAGGCAGGCTCCATGCGTGCTACACGCCATGCCCATCTCATAGTCCATGATAATATGTATTTGGCGAAGAGTGCAAGCTGTGAAGCCGAAGTAGTATAGAGGATGCCTGTATACTTCATGGAGGATGAGATGTGCAGGGCATGTAGCACACATGGGGCGAAGAGAAATACGTACAGAGTTTTAATGGGAAAGCCAGAAAGAAAGATACCGCTAGGAAGACATATATGTAGTTGGGACGATAATATTGAAATGGGCCTTACGGAGGTAGGATGGAGTGTTAATGAAGTCGATTCATCTGGCTTAGGCAGGGGACCAGTGGATGGTTCTTATGAACACATTAATGAATATTCGAGTTCCATAAAATGTTGGGAAATTCTTGAGTAGCTGAGCGACTGGCGGCTCCTCAAGGTGGACTCAGCCTCATGGAGGTGTATTATATTTAAGCATCCTGTTGCACTATACACTTCTATATGTAATAATACAAATGCCGTCGTGAACGCAACAATTTATTTGGTTGTAATTCTTTGTCTTTCCTTCCTCTACACCACATGTTTCGGCCGTAACTGGCCATCATCATGTGTATTTTTCACTACGTAGCTGTAACACTGCACACAATCCAAAATCTGAAACACCAGCCTGTCAGTTTTGTCTAAAATCTCGCCACATACGCTCGTAAATTTGATTTTAGAATTCTAATTTAAAATTTTAAAAATTAAAATTCAAAATTTAAAGTTTTAAATCATGGAGGTAGTTCTGCATATATTTGTCACATGCAAAGTCGGGTGCAGTGAAGCTGATGGTTTCTCTTTGCACCATCTTAATGTGGAGCCTGGAAGGAGAAGTCGGTATGGTAACTGGCTATGGGCTGGACGAGCAAGTGGTCGGAGTTCGAGTCCAGGTGGGGGCAAGAATTTTCACTTCTCCATGTCGTCCATACTGGCTCTGGGGCCCACCCAGCCCCCTATCCAATGGGTACCGGGAGCTATTTCCCCGGGAGTAATGCGGCCGTGGTGTGAAGCTGACCATCACTTCCAACTAGTGCCAAGATCAAGAAAACGTGGATCTATACATCCACTACCCCATATGCCTTATGGCGCAATGCTTAATTAGTTAGGCACAGGGACAACTTTACCGGTCTTAACGTGAGACTTGTTTCCACTCTACTAGACCCGACGTAGTTGGTCTGCCTCAGGCTTAAGAACACGCGGAGTTATTAGTCCACTTTTTTTGCTTAGTGGAGGGTGGAGTCTAGCTGAGTCCACTCGGCACGGCGGCCACTGATTAGCCTATTGTAACTGCCCTGGGTGATTATGATGGAGAATTTGGTGGAATGAAGATTGGTAGGGTAAACCGAAGTACTCGGAGAAAACCTGCCCCAGCGCCACTTTGTCCACCACAAATCCCACTTGACCAGACCCGAGATCGAACCCGGGCCGCCGCGGTAGGAAGCCAGCGACTAACCGCTTGAGCTATGGCGCGGCCCCTCAGTTTCATGGTAAGTAAATATTAGGGAGTTCTTCGTTATATAATTTCTCCATACATTCAGACAAGGCTGATTACAATGGAAGCTAAGTAGTATATTATTTTCGCCTCCTGAACATCAGGATCTTGGTTCGAACCCCATTCGGGCATAGACCATTTTTCCTCATTCTTTCTGTATTTGTGTCCTGTGTATGTAGAATGCCTTGCAATGGTTCTATCCCCCATTCAAGGAGCCCTACTAAATGCCTAAACAATTAACTTTGATGGTTTGTTATACGATGCTTTCTGTATCGAAAATTTTATAGTGTCGAGTGGTGGGATGAAAATGAATTGGATTTGCAAGGAAGCGACAGTGGCGAGAACCCTCAGCATTGGCAGTACTTACCCACGGAGCTGAGCCCTTCTTCAGGAACTGCCAATTCTGCAGCTACTCAAGAATTTCTCAGCATTTTATGGAACCCCAAGGTACATTACCGTGTTTACAAGAGCCCTCCACTGGTCCCTATCTTGAGCCAGTCCAATCAAATCCATACCATCCCATCCTATCTCTCTAAGATCCATTTTAATATTGTCCACCCACCTTCGTCTTGGTCTTTCCAGTGGTCTCTTTCCTTCTGGCTTTCCCACCAATATCCTATATGCATTCCTCTTCTCCCCCATTCGTGCTACATACCCTGCCCACCTCATCATCCTTGACTTGATCATTCGAATTATACTTGGAGAAGAGTACACGTTATGACGCTGCTCATTGTGCAGTTTTCTCCAACCTCCTGTCACTTCATCCCTCTTCGGTCCAAATATTATCGACAGCACCCTGTTCTCAAACACCCTCAATCTATGTTCCTCCCTTAAAGTCAGGGACCAAGTTTCACACCCATACAGAACCATGGGCAAAATTATAGTTTCGTGTATTCTAATTTTTATGTTTCTGGACAGCAGACGAGAAGACAAAAGGTTCTGGACTGAATGGTAGCAAGCATTGCCCGAGTTCAATCTCCTCTTAATTTCCTCCTGAATCAGGTTTTGATGTGTTATCGTCGTTCCCAAATATCTGAACTGTGCCACGCATAGACAGTACACCTCCCAAATATATATCTACAGCGCTACCGTTAGACCATCCTGCTGGGTTCTGAAACTTTCTTAAGTTAATTCTGAATTTGAATAGGCCAGACGGTCTGTTCCAAACGCAGGGAAAGCAGACGCAAGAGGGCAGACAAGATATTGTTGTACCTGTAACCAAGACCGGACGGTGTAAGCATTGAATGCAGACCTAACTCCACCCACTGCTAATTTCGGGACTAACAGGGAGATGCCTTAAGATAAAAAGTAAAAGTAAGTAAAGTAAAGGTATCCCTGTAACAGGCCGTGGAGGCCCATAGGGTTGTGAGACGTCGAAGCGCCCACATTTTCTCTAGACAATCAGCACACAGATGGTGGCAAGGTTTTCATCCCAAGAATATTCCATGAATATTCCTGGTACTCATTTCTGTTAGAGGCTGAGTCCACCCCAGGACCACAGTGCGGCTGGAAGGATTAGATCAATTGAAAGTAAATCCAATAACCTCATAGGGACTTGAACCCGCGACCTTCCGGCTTGTAGCATAGTGCCTCAACCAACTACGATAACACAGCAAAAAGGTCATGGGAATAGTTTAATGTTTTTTTTTAATTAAACGGGAATCATAATTAACCTTAAACCGTACAGAGAATTTCGGTTTCAGCCTCAAAACAATGGATTCCTTTTCTCATTTGTAGTACGTGTACACATGCGAGGATATATGAAGTTTCGTAACTCACCGTGATGCTCGCGATGGTCCTGGAGATGGTGTTGCGTCTGGTGCAAATGCTGGTAGTAATGGTTGTGATGGAGAATGCATTCTATGTCTGTGCAGTTCAACATTGTTTCCCAGAAACTTAAAGACGATACAATTAATCCTCAGCAGATGAAACCACTCACATACAAACAATGGTATTTACATACTTTTGTGTAGAGTCATGACATATCCAGTAAACTTGTTACTTAATTCCTGTACTACCAAACAGAAGATATCTTCTGTTACGAGTTCACTTGTTATAATGAAATATTTATTTCCCGTTAGTACGTAACAGCAGCGCGATGTATGTTCAGTACGTGGATAAGAGAAATGTCTTGTTTTCCAGAAGCATGCAGTGTGTCACACAACTCACTCCTGCCTCCTGAATGATTCAGTTACAATGGAATCCTACTAACATTTATTTTTAAACACTCATTTATGTCTTAGTGACAAGATTGGGCCACGATTCGTTACACTACTGAAATGTGATATGTTTAGGGTTGTAACAGAGCTTTACAATTCTTATCATCACGTAAATATCCACTAATTATCACACCATATGTTTTACGAAATTAAAACTGAAAATTGTTGTTGAATATTGGACGGGCGTGATTCTTTTTATCCGAACATAATTAAAACAAAGAAAACAATGTCCTTGAAAGTACGGTGTGTGTACACAGAGTCCTGTCCATAATCACGATAATAATTTCCATCTTTTTACAACGAGGTTTAGTATCAAAATATCTTATATCAAACGTTCTACAATCGTTTAAGCAAAAGAGACTCTGCAAATAGCATTCAAAATTCGACATTTACGTATTATCGTCTAGTTGTACGTTAAAAATTAACTAGTAGAATACTTGCATTATTTCACTTCATGCATTAGAAATTCAACATATCACGGCAAAGCGCGCATAATCACATAACCTCTAACGTGCGATACTCCGCTCTTAACTGAAACACGCCAATTTATATCACTCCTCGATTTTCTTCCCCATCGAACTCGTTACAGGAAAAAATATACGGTGCAAAATAGAACCTATATTCCTATCTTTACAACTATTGACACATCACTACAAGATTCTTCGAGCATGGTCCAGTTTAAAATCACATTTCCCTCCAAAACGTACAACGTTGATATGCGACGTTTAGCCTTCAGTTAATCGTATGCTATACTAATTTGCTTTTCTGTTCGTTAATTAGTGATCAGTCACATACACAATCACACACAACAGTTGGTGTTTGTTATGTAGGTTGCGGTGTTCTTCCACCAACTGCAGACTCGGCATCCAAAACACAGCCACTGCAACATAACCTCTCAAATCGCACACGCCACCTCTTCTATACAAGTCACCTCGTGTTCACTTGCAATCAGAGCGTCGGTTTCAATTAAAAACTGTATGTATTATTTCACAGTGTCGGTACTTAAGTCATTTATAGTCAGTGAGTCAGTGACTCCTCCACCTTGGGGCCCTGTCTACCTTTGCAGCAGCAATCACTAGCACAGAAACGAAACACGCGACCTCCAGCGAGCACAAGCAACTCCTAGCGCCTTTCTCACTCACACACCAACTGAACCGCCGAGCATATGAACACCCATGCAGTACTGTTACACCGGCAGGCCAACAGCATGTAAAGAGAAAGGGACCACGTCTGCAAGCCTGTCGTAGCATGGAACTTTGGTCGGAAAGTATTTGGATCGCTCTTAAACGCATTTGCCAACTTAGACGGGATATTAAGAGCTCGCATTTGAGACAAAGTATTAAACTGGAGAGGGGTAGACATAAATGTCATGCGAGGCGGAGAAAAATGCGAAGGAGAAGTATGAGAATATGAGAAAAGGAAGGAAACATTGTGAAGAACCAGGCTTATGAAGATAACGAGTTTAACGTCTTCCATACACCTCCCACATCTGAAATGTCTGAGATGATGTGGACAAAAATATTTTGGGGGGAGTGGGGGGATGGATTGAATTTGATTTTAAATGAATACTGCGGCGAAAATAGAAATACTTAGGCCAAGAGAACAGTAAATTTGGAATGTGTGTAATGGGATGTGGTTTGTTACAGCTGCCTCTCATTCCAAATAAAATCAGTCTTCTCTCCGTGTCATAAAACACGTATTTTTGTGTCAGTGTTTCCCTTAACAACCTTAGAACAGTGGTTATCAACTTTTGTGAGACTGCACCGCGGTAAATGCTTTCTTTATAAGACGAGGGCCCGGTATAATGATCCCAGGGCCCGGTACCGGGCCGCGGCCCGGCATTTGACAAACACTCCCTTAGAAAAAATGTGAAAAACCGTAGGAAAATAATGAAAACTGAGGTACTCAATCTTTTCTTAATAGAGCTGGGATATCTACCTATCTATTCCTGTTGCTCCCACTTGGAGCATAGGGCATCCCTAAAACGCTTCGTTTCACTCCAGTTTCTTAATCTTAGACACTCGGTAGGACTCCCTGGACAGGGGATCAGCCCAACGCAAGGCCTCTACCTACACATAACACACAGAATAGCATCCATTCCTTGAGTGGGATTCGAACTCACAATCCCAGCGTTGGAGCGAGAGAAGACATTTCATGCCTTATACCGCGCGGCCACTGTTATCGGCAGGGAGGAAACAGTTGTGGTATATTTCAAAGTACTATCCCAGGAACCGCTTGGAATGAGTAGGGAAGCCAAGCAGAAACTGATAGTAGGGCCTCAGTTCCCACTGAGACTGGGGCCAGTCTAGGAGAAGAAAATTAATACAATCTCACGGGGCAATGTCCACTTGCTCTCCTCTGTAGATTACAGATACTAGATGATATGTTTGACTGCTCGGCGCCGAAGGAACGTCTCTTAGAAGGGGGAACACGATGCACTGAAACGTCTGTCGTGAATATATTGTGGCGTGTAGACACATTGCTAGGCACTGACAGCGAAATAAGGTGCTATACAACAGCCGTTGCTAAGTACCGGCTCCGTACATAAGCTCATTTCCACGGCAACAATTAAACAGCAGCAGAGGGACGGTGTTTTCTGTGCAGTCCGTGCCGAGATATTACAAGCAGGACAAGTTAGTGGAGTTGGTCAGTCAGTGGAGTGGAGCGAGTTAGAGAACTGCTGAGGTTCAGTAATTGTGAGCTGTTGCTGTTAGAAGCTGGTAGCTGACTCCGGGGAGAGTTCGGGAGCCCAAAGGAAGGGGAACGTCCGTCGTTGGAAGCCGCTACCAAGCAACGGCAGTGAAGATGGGATATTAGACACTATTGTGTGTGTGTGTGTGTGTGTGTGTATGTGTGATGACTTCTTCCGAACTACTTGTCATTACAACCCAGAAGAGAATTTTGTTCCTGGTCAGCTCCGTGATAATTTCAAATAGAATAAAATTTAACCTGTTGTTACCAAGCAAATTGGAACAAGCATTTCGATTTTCGGCTAGAACTTCATCTATACTGATTGAGGACAGTCTGTAGAGTAATTAAGCTGGATGTTCCGAGAACCGGGGTTCGATTTCCAGCAAGGATTGAAATCTTTCTCTTTACCACTGTAACGGGCCAGCGCTGGGACCTACCCAGTCTCTTATCCAATGCGTACCAATGACTCTTTAGCTGGGGAATAAAATGGTCAGAGCGTGAAGCTGTTCACTAGCCACTATCTAGTACCGAAAGCTAAGAATAAGTGGAAATATGCCTCCATTAACACATAACACTTCGTGGTACGGTGTTTCATTAAGTATATGAGTAGAAAGTAAGATCGAAAAGTTCGTGACGATGGCACATTGCTACAAGTATGATGTTTTTGAACATTATTCGTCTTCCTATATTTAAAAACGTCCTGTTTATTTTTCAGAAAACAACGTCCGGATATAGGGACTAGCTTTATCGATTGGGCCTAACTACGTAGGTTTTACCCGAGGACGGAGACAGAATCCAGTCTCCGAAACGTTGTGTTTTGAAAAAGAAACAGAACGGTTTTTAAATGTAGACAAGACGATGGATAATGTCCAAAAAATTATACTTGTAGCATAAGTACCTCTAGTTTCACAGCTGGCATCTTAAGGACTTTTATGAAAGGATAAGAATCAGAATATCCAGGACTCATCTCGGATATCAGAAGTAGAAGTCTAACTCACCATCATCAGTGAAAATTTTGGCACAGAAACGGACATTTCCAAACAGGCTCTCGAGTAACACGCCAGCATTTCGAACGCAACCTCAGTACCAGAAAACGCCGCCGACATATAAGCGAAGTGTCAACTAAATAGACGTGTCGAAACGAACAGGTACATAAAATACATATTTAACAACATGTCTTGTGATAATTAGCTAAACGACCTTAACATACTCCGAGTTGTCATGATGTAAATACATGTTTCCAATCACCAAGACCAACAGCGCTCTGCGGTAATCCATTTGAATTCTTTTCGGAAGTATCAGATTCAATTTTTGGACACGGAGAGACTGTCCTGAATTTTCCCTCACTCGTTCCATTTACAGATCCTACGGGACTCACCTGTTCCATCGTTCACCTCCAAATTTATCCTTCGTAACTCCCGACAAGATAAAAAAGCCTCTGTAAAAAAACAGCCACTTTTAACTCCAAAACCAAAAATCTTAACCGTATTTTCTTATTAATCTTATTCTTCTACCTTGCCGAATTTGGGCCCTCTGGCGCATTTTCATTCAGAATTATTGTGAACATATGGATTTTACAGTCAGCAGGACTCCTTGGACGGCGGATCAGCATATCGCAAGGCCGTTACCTAACACAAACACAGAATAAAAGCAGTCATCCATGACTCGAGTGGGATTAAACCCACGATCCCAGTGTTTGAGCGGGTGAATATGTGCTGGTATTAATTGAATTTACGCATAAGGCAAGTTGAAACGATACACATATTTCATAACCATCGTCATGAATGTGACCGGAAGTGAGATGCGATGCAAAGAAGTACACTACATATTTGGCTACCCAGAACCTGTAAATCTCTTGAAATCCAGCATGACGGCTTTATCTGCACAGCAAGAAAAAGAATGTTTTCAACTACATTCTGCTATACAGAGTTTAACTGGCAAGGTTATGTTGCAGCGGGGGAAGGAGAGGTAAGTCTGCGAACGCACCAACTGATCCCAGTACATTCGAAACTGACAAACTCAGATGCTGCAAAAGTACACCCGCATGAATATCTCTGCCACACCGCAAGACAAGAGTCTAATCAACATTTCATCCTACATAAACCACTACAGGAATGCCACAATGCACATTTCAAACACGATCAGAGAACCTATCATACATAACACAATCTTCGACATTATGTTGATAAACGTAAGTAAAGGTAAATTTGCCTCTGTGTTTTGCTAATTAAGCACTACGCCATGAAGACCTATGGGGGAGTGGATGTATAGATCAACCTTTTCTTTACCTCGTCACTGGTTGGAGGAGAGTAGTCAGCTCCACGCCTCGCCCGCTTTACCCCCGGGGAAAGATCCCCCGGTACCCATTGGATAGGTTAGGTGAACCCCAGAACCGGTCTGGATGACGCGGAGAAGAGAAAATTCTTTACCCTACCGGCACTCGAACTCCGACCCCTCGGTCGTCCAGCCTGTATCCAGTCCCTATACCGACTATGCTATCCCGGCGAGTAAAAGAATGAATCAAAATATTCCTACCCATACTTTAGGGCAGAGAAAACTAACTACGAGTTTCTCCACTGTGCGTGATGACATTCCGCCTCCTGACATGAAGTCATCAAGAGAACGGCTCTTGTTGTTGGACACTTATTGTTTAAATGTAAGATTAAGTAGCGACAGAGCGACAGACAACATGCCTCAATGGATAAACGAGATCAACTTTCTAATTTTTCTACTTTCAGTAAAATTACATGAGCATACGGCAGTAACTCCACTCACGTTTCAATTCTCTGTCTGGCACATGAAGATTACGAAAGAAATGGCTGTCACCCAGTTATGCGCAAGTTCTTGATACGGAGTACGATTGCCAGTATGGCAACAGATACCTCTAAATATGGGACTGGTGCACCATTTTTCTGGGGTTAAATTTACAGCTGATCTGTTGGGGAAAGTACAAACCGGCTCTGGGGCCCACCTAGCCTCCTATCCAAAGGATACCGGGCGCTATTTCCTCGTGGGTAAAGCGGCAGGGACGTGAAGCTGACCACTCACCTCCAGCTAGTACCGAGGTCAAGAAAATGTGGATCTATACATCCACTCCCCCATACGCCTTCATGGTGTAGTGCTTACTTGTTTAAGTGCAGGGGTTTTTTTATACACAGCTCGTCAATACAACTAACTACGTGTATATCAGCCTCACTGATCACCGTAACTACAGCACACATAAAATATTCACTAGTCGTTTCCTGGTAACGGATCTTAACAAAGGCCTCTGATAAAGTCCTTGCCGGCTGGCAATATCCCACAGCTGGGTCTGAGTCTCATTTTACGACCGATGGTCAGTCGGTTAGTCGGCCAGTCTGTCTTGGCATAAAGCACCCATCTGGGGCTTGCGACCAGAACTTTATCACTGTTTGACAGTTACTGT